AGTGTCTCTCTCCAGTTGGGAACTTGTGGGAAGCTGCACGCAGAGCTGGTATGCGAGGTAGGTGGTTGGGGTAACAGGAAAAACCAGGCAAAGAGATTTGCTGGCAAAAGCAAGAAACTTGGTGAGTGGAGCCTCTTTTGCCCAGGGTGGTAGAATTCATATCTGCGAGATAAAATGGGAAGTAGCTTGGGGTCATGTTGAGAAGAGCCTGTGATGGGAATTGGAACTGCTGGTGATGATGAGTGTTTATCATCATGCAGGGAATCCCAAGGCTAGTAGCAAGGAATTAAAGGGAGGAAAACAGATTTAAGAAACTCTTTGGTGTTAGCTTCTGCAGAATGTGGGCATGGGAGTGGGAGGCTATGAAGAAAGTAAGATAGGTAAAGGTGGCCCCAGGTGCCTTCTTTAGAGTAGATGGTCTATCAGAGACCTGACGATAGGCAATGTTCACGGGGTCCAGGCAGAGGGGATGGCTGGCACAGAGGTCTGCCTGAGGTGGAGGGACTTGGTGTGATGTGTTCAGTTGCACCAAGGGCATCGGACTGAAGTTTAGGAATGATGGGGAGAACAGAGGGAGGGGAGCTTGGCCCAGATCATCTAGGGCCTCGTGAGCTTGGTAAAGGATTTGGATTTTATTCAAAATATATTTGGCAGCTATTGGAGGTTTTAAAGGATATGCTGTATTTAACTGTATTTAAAAAGATGATTCTGGCTTCTCTCTGTAGAAAGGCTTTTGGAGGTACAAATGAAATTAGGGACAGTAGGTCAAAGGTCACAGTAGCAGTTCAGGCGAGATAGAATGTAGAAAAGTGGATAACATCTCAGGAAAGTGTTAGTTGCTCAGTTGTGTCCGACTCTTCGCGACCCTATAGACTAAAGCCCTTCAGTCTCCTCTGTCCATGGAATTCTCCAGGCAAGAATACTGGAGTGGGGTAGCCATGCCCTTCTCCAGGAGATCTTCCCGACCCAGGGATTGAACCCAGGTCTCCCACATTGCAGGCAGAGTCTTTACTGTCTGAGCCACCAGACTGATCAAACATTGGAAGGATGTAAGCAAACCTTACTGGGCACAGACTGTGCAAGCAATAATGGAAAATGAACAGTTTCCTGTTTGATACCCAGAAGAATCTTTCTCAGTACCTTAATAACTAACATGCTTATCATTAAAATAACTGTCAAAAATGCTTACTTTGCAGAGGTCTGGGTCAACATGAAATATGACTTAAAACCCTAAGTGAAAATTGTGAGTTAAGTAGATTTTATAACTTAAGTGAGATTGAATGTTGGCTCATCTATTGGTTCACAGCGGTGTAGTCTCAAAATAAAATTTGGATTTCTTACACAATCTGAAGGCATTTCCTGAACCTTTTTGTCTTGGGTAATATATTTATATTTCAGCTTAAATTCTCTGAACTGCAATTTTCCTATTTGTAAAATAAGGGTCATAGCATTGCAGTGCAGGTTGTTCTAAGAACTAAATGGCTCAGAGTTTGGCATAGAGGAGAAATTTGGCAAAATCCTAGTTACTGTTAATAACAGTCTGGGGAAATTCTTCAGTAGCATTTCTCTGAATCATAAGGAAAATATCCTTTTGCTGGCTGGGAAGCCAATTTCCAAGGAAGTTAATTGAGATGATTCAGATCATCAAGAGGGCCTCTGTTAAAAGCAGAGCCAGCATCTGTGTGTAGATGAGTTGAAGACGCCTTGTCCCGGTGGCAGTACTGGAAGGACCTGAACCGTTCACTGGCTTCCATGGTTTCTCCGGAGACGTGCGGCTCCCTGATCCTTGCCCAGATTCGTGTGCCCTCCCCCTTGTTGATCGCCTCCTACTTTGAAATTGTCACTTGGATCCACTGCCATGTCTCAGGACCTGTTTGTTTCTAAAAGTCAGTGACTTCCCTCAAGAGCTGGCAGAGCAGGTCTGAGCGCTGAAAGAACTATGTGTATTCTGATTGTGGCTTAGTTGAGAAAACTTGTGGGAAACAATGGAACTTTCTAGTATTTTCCTTTTACTCTCCAGTGCATTCATTTCTCTCTTCATTTTTCCTTTAGAACTTTAGACTATCATTTCAAATGCCAAAAACAATGTAGTACTGCTCTTTTAAGCCTATATTTGGTGTAGTAAGTAATCAGGTTCTGAGTACTCTTTTCTCTTTGAGTTGGGAGAATAAAAAGTTTAATAAAGTTATTCTGAACATAGCATACTATTCTTGCAGATCTTAAAAATATTAACACTTTTATTCATATATATGTATATATATATATCAGATTTAACACATATGGTTTTCTTTTCTGTCAGAGAAAGTAGTAATGACTCTATTACTCAACTACTTGGGAGAAGAATAGATAATCACAATCATACACAAGTGTCTATGACGTGACAGTCGTTGCAGTGTGTGAGCAGACAGGAAATAGACTTCTTTCCAACATTCAAGAGACATTTCCCATGTGAGAAGAACATAACTGGTTTTGCGAATTGTAATGTGCATCTTGTCCTTGGCATTTGCTCAATCTCTAGAAATACCTCATTAATGTTTCCTCTGTGGCTCTTTTGTTGCCTTAGTTACATTTTTAACTATTTTAGATCTTTAAAAAAAAAAAAAACACGTCTTGAACTTTTAAACTGAAGAGAGAATTCTAATGTGTGAAATTCTTTGATTAAGTAAATAATACATTAACAGGATACAAGATTTTGAAACGCTTTTCTTTTTTATATCCTGCTTTCTAAAGTGTATAGTAGGAAATTCTTGTTTAAAATTATACATTGAAGATACTCTAAGCATAATTTCAAAAAAGATTAAGTAAATGCCAGAGATCAGAAGACTCTTATGAACAGCCACTTCCATCTTGTCACTATGTCAATGTTGATGATGTCACGTCACATGGGTATAAGTAGTTTGATTTTTTTCACTTCAAGTCAAAGAGTAAATGTGACTGAACCTTAATGTGTATTACCTTTAAAATGGTTTTTTTTTTTTTTTTTGGTAAAAGAATTTGTCTTTTCTCATCCTTTATCACTTTTTTGCGTACCTCATTCTCAGGTAATTCTGGGTCTTTTCACTGCTATTCAGTTATGTCTCAGGTTTGAGCTATGGAAATAGGTGTTTGTGCATGTATATATCTTGTGTGCACCATGAAACCATCAGACAAAGTGATTTTAAGGTAGTAATATTCATCCAGATGGAGTGGTAGCAGTCATTTTGTTTCTCTTCCTCTGAAGAGATTGGCTTATCTAAATAGACGGAACAGTTTTCTGTTGTAGATGTTTCTTGTATCATTCAAGTAAAATTGAAAGTAATTTCTGTCTCTTTGAACAGGATGGCGTGAGAGGGCATTTTCTTTTTGAGAAAAATTATCATTGTATCTTAAAATGTAAAATTCAGTTGGTTATTCCAAATATTTTGGTAAGACATTTATAATCTAGTAATGTGATCTAGTATTGTCTCCCTCTATATTGCTTAATTATACTGTGCTTTTCATAATTCCTGGAACTAGAGGCACATACCTTTATAAAAGACAGCTTTGTACTGAAAAAATTCTTGCCCTTGGGGGTGACGAGCACAGCTTTATAATAAGAGAAAATAAGACAGTTTTCTGTAGTAAGCAATTTTTTGACCCAGTGCCTAAAATTGGGGTTAAGAGTCACAAGACCCAAACCCTACCTTTCCAACCTAAGGACCTTACATGGACTGTGTAGTTATGAATGAAACACTAATATGGTCACATGGATTATTTTTAAATTAATTTTCAGTCAACCAAGTGACATATCACTTCATCCCTCTTGTTAAAACATACAGATGACACAGATACTCCTCCAGCACCCAGACTCCAGTGGGAATGTCCATCCTGTGTAAAAATAGAGCTACCTTGTACAATTATGGAGCGACTAAGTGTTCAGTATCCTCAGAGGAAAGCCTGTTCATTGTTTCTAAAAATATTTGTGTTTAAGTCACATTGCCCTGGGCCAAGGAAAAACTTGAACTTCTCAAGGCTGAAGAGGAGGAGACCCACAGGACTGAGATATTGGCCTGTGGTAGAACAGGATAGAGCAGGTTGAAGTAGAGAGGGAAGGAACATTCTTGTCTAAGGAGACACTGAAGTTTGTACAACTTAATCTAGTTAAAGCCAAACCTACATGAGACTTACTATTAGGAGAAGCAATCAGACTCAGTATACATGCCCACGTGTACATATCAAAAGAATTTCGCCAGAACCATCAATAAATTTGAAATGGAAAAGATGCCTAATTCTTGCTTATTTGGTTATTCACCCACATAATCCATACACTTGTTGACTACATTGTGCATAAATGGCAAAGATTATCCATACCTTATTTCTCATGTTCTTACCCCTGGTTTACAGATTAGGAGACTGATACTCAGAGAGTGTCAATAGCCTATCCCAAGACCACATTGTTAGGAGAGAGAGGTATGGGTTGGATGCTGTCAGTCAAACAGGCTCTTTTCTTGGCATCATGCTGCTTTGGAGATCAGCTAAGAATCCGTTTCTGGGATATACAGGTACAATGGTTTAATGCCTTTGACTCACTAAATGTCAGAAAAGTTTTGAATTCTCTTGGCATAAATTCATTACAATTTAATACCATTGTAATTTCCTGAGCATCTGTTTTATGACAGAAAAGACACTCCCTAAGTATTTAACCACAGACCCTGACTCAGCTCTGGCCCATCAGTTTAAACCCTGCTTGTCCATCAGTTGAATGTCAACTGGTGTTTCAGGCCTCAGGAAGTCCCATTAATAGCAGTGGAGAGTGTTTTAAACTCCCTTGACCTTTAAGTTAATTTAAAACAAACAAACAAACAAAAAAACACAGTATCATTCTCAAAAGCCTCACCTTAATCTGCTCTTGCTATAGTTTCAACGTTCTGATAGCAATCTCTCAGGTTGTTTGGGGGTTTGTATTGTTGGAGCACTGAAAACTTAAATGAACCTGCAGAATTTCATGACTGAGTGTCTGCCCTGTTTTTCCCTTTTTCTAGGTCTATTATTAGCAGAAGATTTTTCTGCATAGTTGGCACGCTGTACCTGTATCGGTGTATTACAATGTATGTAACCACACTCCCAGTACCCGGTATGCATTTCAACTGCTCTCCGAAGGTAAACCTTTCCTCACTGTAATTTCCCTTTTTGTTTTTTCTCATCTTGTTCAGGGGGTCCTTTGATTTAGGCCAGAGGTGACAATTTCTTTAGAATCAACCCCCCTTGCCTTCATCTGGGAACATTACTGAACAATATAATTAGGTGACCCCACTCCTTCTCAAAACTTCCCAAACCCTGCCATCGCTTCCCAGCTGGGGGAATACATGGTCTCGTTAGTGTGATGGAAGCAGTTAAGCTTTGTGTGTGTGGGTGTAGCTCTTTGGTTTCCTGCCAAACTTTTAAAATGTCATTCGCTCCCTTGTTAACAGCTCCAGAAGCTTTTATATGCTTTTTCCCTCTCTTAGATGGAAAGTTCAATTTCAAATAATGTTTTTTCCTTCTTTCTATTAAGCCCTACAGTGGGAATCGAGAAGAGCAGAGCTGGAGACACCATTCCTGTCTCCTTGCACCCTTTTGCTGTTCAGGTGCTCAGTCGTGTCCGACTCTTTGCTACTCCATGGACTGCAGCACACCAGGCTTCCTTGTCCTTCACCGTGTCCCAGAGTTTGCTCAAACTCATGTCCTCCACCCACCAAATAAGATCTCTCCCCCCTGGTGGGGCACTTCACTGTCCTGATCTTCTCTCGTAGCAAACAAGCTTTTCTTTAAACTCTATCCCTCTCTCACTGTCTCTACCTTCCCATCAGATTAACCTAACACTTCTTACCCCAGCCTCTGCCTCGGCATAATTTCAACTGGGAAGATCATCATAACTTTATGAAAGAATTAGCAGGAGATTTAGTTTTTGAAATGTTTAACTGCATGAAAGTTCTTCAATGCAAAAAGAAGTAGAAACAGCTCATTTCCTCCATCTGGGTGGGAGAAAGTGTGGAATGCTGTGATTGTATGTTTGAAATGTTTGGAAGCATTTCTTTGTATCACACTTGTGCTAGTGAAACACCCTTTCAGTTTCATTCATTTGCCCTTGTGTTCCTTCCATACAAGACATTCTTTTTGATAGAATCTTGGAAGAGGGCTGAAAAAAATCAATCCCTTGAAAGAAGGATTTTTAAAGTGGTGACTTTATCATTTGAAATTTTGGATTTGTTTAGGTCGCTTGCTTATTGTGGGTCCCCTTCCTTCCTAGACCTAACATATGTGCTCAGAGGTATCTCGTTTCTTAATCCACTCTTGCATTCTTGCTGCAATCTGTTTCTGAACTAGAGAAGCCACCCTGGAGAATGAATGATCCCAAGGTTCCATCATCTCCCTCAGCGGTCCTGCCTCCCTGCACCTCTTTCTTGCTCTTTCTTCAGCCGTTGTAGAGAAAGCCAGCCTCACATCTTCTTTATCCTCAGTGAAAACTCTTCAGCACTTTCCTGAAGCTCCTGACTCATAGGTTTCTTCTTGTCACTGAGGATCCAGTGATGTAGACTCCCGCGGTGAGGCTGGCTTGATAAGCAGTGTGTTTTCAGTAGTCGGCTGATTGATGGTTTAGTTCAATCCTTAAAAAAAAAAAAATCTGTGCATGGGAAGTTTTTCCACCAAGGAGCCTGTCATACGAGTTTAGGTAGAAGCGGAGTCTGGTCAAGCCCATGTTGAAGACAGGCCCAGCATCAAGGGGTCGTGCTGTGTAGCCTTTCTCCCAGATCTGGTTGCAGTCTATGTTTTCTTCAGACTTCTGCAGCTCCACTAGTCACCAGCAAACCCACTGTTGGTTAGCACTGGCACTTACATCTTGAGTCATCAGCATGTCTAACCAAGATCCTACAGTTAAAAATAGCTTGTGGGTTTTCTTGGTAAAGATAGAGGTTAACAGGAACTGTGTGCCCAACCAAACCCAGACATGTCACGTGTTTATCATGCTGCCAGAAATCCCAACTGGGGCTATCTTTCTGTGACAGTCTTCTGGAAATTGGAGTCTTTAAAGTGAAGTATACAGGAGGGAGTGAAATGCTAGCAAAAATTATTAGTAAAAACTCATTAAATCTAATTCTTTTGTAGAACAGAGCTCATCTAAGAATGGGTTCAAATGACAATTTTTTATTCTGAAATTTTTCAACTGTATCCCAAGGAAGAGAAACCAGTATAAGGAAACTTCATATACTAACACCCAAATTCAGTTCTTATCAAGATTTGCTTACATTTGCTTCGTCTTACTTTCTTTTTTTCTCTTGAAGTATTTTAAAACAAATCCCACACAGCGTTACTTCATTGCTTCATTCATATTTAATGTGCATCTAAATTTTTGGACATTTTATTTCATACCTTTAATTCTGTTAATACCTTCAGCACAATTAACCGTAATTTTTTGGTACTGGTAATTACTAGTTCATGGAATATCTTGATTGTCTTTAAAAATGTCCTTTTTAAAAAAAAGTTGATTTGTGTAAATTAGGATCCAAAGACCGTATATAACATTTAGTTGTTCTGTTAAGTCTCTACATTCTAGAGCAGTTCTTTGCTCCCTACCCTACCCTTTTTTAAATCCCATCAGTAACTGGTAGAGATCTAGCAGTTGTCCTGTAGAAGACACCACATTCTGGATTTATCTGTTTCTTTGTCATTCAATAAACTGCTTCCTCTCTCTTCCATATTTCCTTTAAATAGAAAGTTGTCGTGGAGACTTGATTCAGTCATTTTAATTTTTTGGCAAGAACACTTCATGGGTAAACGAGAGTGATTTCTGAAGCTAGACAGAAGAATTGGAAAAGGTCTTGAAGGCTTGGTAGTACCTCTTAGAGTCAGATCAAGCTTAAGAAATTGGAGGTGAGACAAGGGCCAGAATACCGCAGTGGGGAACAGTGTCCGAAGGGAGCAGAGGGGATTGCTAGAGAGATCCCAGAGACCAGCTTTGCCTGCCTTGGAGCCGTAACTGGGGCTGGGCTAGTCAGAACAGAAATGAACCTTACTGAAAGTCATCCAATTCAGTGTCTTGATATCCTCGCCACCACCATCTTAATCAAATTCTCTCTGAACCTTTGCACAGAGAGAGAGTTATTACCTGTAACAATGCAAACCTGCCCAGCAGTAGAAAGAACACTGGGATCAGAGTGAGGGTGGTGTCACCTGGCGCTTGCTAGTTGTGTGGCAGTTGCGTCTAACATCTCAGAGCTTCGGTCCCTTTGTTTGCAAGACAGGGCTTATGACACTTTTTGTATTCTCATAAGGAATTGTGAGAGAGAAAGAAGGCAGTGAATACATGGGGTCTGTCGCTGTAAAAGGCTGTACAGAAGGACAAAAGCTTTTGGTGTCACCATCATGCTTTCACCCCTAGACTGTGATCCATCCCCTGAAAATATACTTAACATACATTAAGCACCTGCTGTGACTGAGGTACTGGAGAACAAGGGTGAGCAAAGTCGACGGAGGTCCCTGCCTTTGTAGAAAATGCCTGAAGACCACCTTAGCCAAACTTGCACCTTATATAATGTGGGAAATGCTGTTATATGAGGGCCTTAAGCTAAGCCACCGGCCCTAGGGATAGAGAGGAGGAGACCGATCTGAGCAGTATTTAAGCAGCTGAATCAGAACAACTTAGCAATACATTTGATACAGGGAATGAGGAGAGAAAGGAAGGATTTCAAAGGCGACTTTAGATTAAACAAGTAAAGATTCAGTTACTTGCGAGACATCTAATTGGTGGTATCCAGGCCAATGAATAGTGTGCGTCTGAAGTTGAGGGGGAAGTCAGTGCTAGAAATTAAATATTTGTGATTCATCATATCCTGGATGGGATGGATATGGATGAAAAGGCCAGAGACAGGACATAAAAGTTGAGGCTTCCAGAACTGGGTATCCCCTGACTTGAGACACCATCCAAGGCCTGTCAGCTGGTGGATACTGTTAATGATTATCAATTATCATTAAACTCCAAGGGTAGAGAGTTGATCTTTAGAATATGATTTCATTTAACATAGGCGTGTGAACTTAAACTTGATTCTGTCATCATACAAAGCTCTGTAATTAGTATATTTAATTCTTCTCTTAAGGCCCATTCTCAAAATGTATGGCTTCTAAGAAAAATGTTCCCACAGGTATACAATATTAACTATAAATATCGTCCCTAGTGCTCATTCATTTGATGGCAGTGTTCTCTTTACTTCATAAAATGTTACTGCTCAAGGAAGTAATTGTCATGTGAAATGATGAGGTGAGGAAGAGAAGGAGGCATGTCATCAAATACTCCTGTAACAGAGATGAGCCGCTGGGGCGTGGGATGGGAAGGAGGCTTTCACTTCCTGGGTCAGGAGCTTCTGGGAGGCATTTGACTAGTGTCCCAGTATGTGACGTGCTGGGCTTAGGAGGTGGCCAAGTTTGTGACCTCTTGATTACCCCTTGTTAATAATCTCAGCACAGCTTTTCTCCAAGGAGCATATATCCAAACCAGAAAACACCCTCTTGTCATCTTTTCCAACTTTCTAGGATTCAGTTTTTAAAAACAAACAAGCAAAAAAAATGCAGAAGCATTCTTCTCTGTCCTAAGACTTCTGTAAGAAAAAATGTTGCTGTTTGGCAGACTCTACAAGAAAAAAAAAAAATCCAAATCTACCCCAGCCCCCAGATATACAGATACACTAATGTTATTTAAAGAGAGGGTATAACTTATGCTGTTTTCAACTCTCATTTTAATAATCACATGTGTTAATCAAGTGGCTGCACTTTAAAGTGAGATTCACATTGGTTCTGTTTTTTGGTCTCCATGGTGACCTTAGATTTGAAAACCTTCAAAAAAGAGAGTTATGTTCCCGCCTGGGTACTTAGCTGGCTAATGCCTTAATCTGACATGGTGTTTTCAGTGAAATAATTCTCTTGAACTTCAAAGATGTGTCTTTTTATTTTTCCTTTCAACATACTTGAACATAGCCCACTGTTGGACAAGGGTTATGTTTGGGTGGCATCTGAGATTCATTGTTCAGTGGAGCAGTAAAATACACATGTAATGACAGAGAGATCTTCGTATTCTTTACTGCCACTGTCAGCGTGTGTGTGTGGGGGGTGGGGCACAAATTAGAAGG